GTTGTCCCGCCCAGTCATTTAACTTAGAATATAAAGAGAGGGGAAAATTGATATCATTGGGCATAGAGCCTTGCTCTCTCATGAATCCGCATGTGTTTCGCTGCTCCAATCGACAAACTGATGTGCATCGAGAATCCGCCACGCACCGCCTCACGATGCGTCGCGCGCGACGGCACGGCAATTAACGGTTCTCTTGTTCGTCTCCTCACCAATCCATCGAAAGTTTCGTAGTGGGAAATGCTTGCCGCGCTTTTGAATGCTTTGGTTTCTCCACACCAAAATGATCTACCGAGAAGAGACAAAAACCGAAAAAGTTACGTCATGGTTTCGGGATAGCCTTCAAGTTTTGCAGGATGCATCTACAAAAAAGATACAGTGGGCACTAGGGATGGAGAAAAAAGAAAATGTATATCAACCCGATGGTGTCTGACGTTCGTAGCATAACCCGTACTGACCATGAATCTCATCTGCGGAATGAACTTCTATTGAAAGTTCAAGTTCTTCGAGGTAAAATAAGTGCAGGCGTGAAACTGACTTGCCATCAGCAGTTCCGAAAAACTACCACACGAGTAAAACAGATAAAGACGACTCCCTCCAAAATACCTGCGGAACAAATTTCACGGGCAAAGTCGTCAGCTTGGAGGGTTTATGTGCATTACGCACAAAGTGTCCAAACCTACGACATACAATTAGTGTTACAACCAACTGCACCGGGGTGGTGCGTTTCGTCGTGACCTAGTTAAAGGTCGGAACTACGTGATTGGTGTGTGCTAGAGCCTTGACTCTGCTTTAATTCATTTGTGTAAAACGAAGTTTGGCGCTACTGCAGTAAGTGGGCCATTCGATGCAAAGATCGCAAAGCGTTCGAAACCACAACTGACGCTTCAGTTCATACATAATTATAAGAGGAAAACTATCTACATAAATGATTTTGGAAAGGACTTCAATGCAAGGTGAAAGCTACTCTTGAGGGACTTTCCTTCTCAGGAGGTCTGTGCAAAAATCTCCAGTCTCCCGAGTCACAATCGTTTCTCCACACCTCCCAGGGCGCTAAGACTCCGTTCATAATATGCAGTAGCGTTCACCAGCGTTTCAGAGTTCGTCGGTGCCATCGACTAGGAAAGTGTGGGTATCATTCTGGCGTCCACCAGCAACTAGCAGCGTCCACGTGCGTACACCAGCGACTAAGAAAGTATGGACATCGATCTAACAAACGCCAGCGTCGACCAGCGTGCAGGAGTAGAGAGGATGGGCAGTCCGGCCAGCAGTCTGCTTTCGGGGCTGTGCACTGTGGTTGCAGTTCTACTTTGCGACTGTAGACGCCACAATTTCTTCGCGACGCCTAATCCAGCTGTCTGCTCCCTCCTACTTCCCCATACTGTGCCAGCAGTCTGCTATCCTTCTAATTCTCTTACTCTCTACTCTTACTCTCTACTCCTGGACGTTGGTACACGCTGGTGGACGCTGTCGTTCACTTGATCGATATCTATACTTTCTTAATCACTAGTGCTGACGGATGCTCGAAAGCTGGTGGTCGCTGGTGAATGCTAGCCAAGTATGAACGCAACCTGACGCGGTTTCGGGTGAAGGCCCTGTCATGCAGCTATGCGAAATCTCGCGACGGCTTTGGTCCTCTGCGGTCTGGTATATGACTCTGAAACTCCACACTTTAGAAGGGGATGGGCGCGTGCTCCTCTAGAACTTGATTAACATTCATTCCAATCTAATGACGTCTGAAATAAAAAATGGAAGAAACGCCGCAAAAAATAAGCTCACAACATTTACTAGCCTATAAGTACTATTTATGCAAAATCGTGTATACAGTAATCCGTCGAACTGTTGCACCAAAATGTCGTACTCTGCTGGAGCAACGC